CGTAAAATCCCCACAGACGTGTGCTAAAATGCACGATGAGATCAAAAATACAATAAATGTCCTGTTTAATTCCGCTAGAGTCCCTCCACCAGCTGTGATACTAACACTTGATATTTTGAGACAGTCCCTGACATGTACCGCCCTTGCATTACAAAACGCTGGTCATGATATTGTGAGTCACGCCGAATTCTGCCTGCCAGGTGGGTCACAGTATAGTTTGTTTCTTAGAAGTGTTTCTGCCATGGATTTTTCGATAATTTATGAGTAATCGTTATGATAAGGAAATAGTACACCGTGATCACTCATATGCCATATTAGGTCGTGGTGGTATGAATGACTATATATGACTTTTGAATCTGAAATATCAACCATTATCAAATAATTGCCAAAAGCATTTTCCAAGCATTTCTGGCCTTTACTTTTCAAATACCGCACACTGCGTTGGCGGCTTCTCGGTAAAGTTATTTTAAAATACAGGGAATCTGATTTTGTGGAACTGTGTGTCCGGGTATGCTGTACTCCGCCCAGATACTCTGCTGTTATATGTGTCATGGTTGAGTGAATCATCTTCTTGAAAGTGTCGGGCGGTGGGGTAGCCTTGTGGTTAAAGCGTTGGCTCGTCACGCCGAAGACCCGGGTTCGATTCCCCACATGGGTACAATGTGTTGCTTCCATTTCTGGTGTCCCCGCCGTGATATTGCTGGAATATTGCTAAAAGCGGCGTAAAACTAAAAACTCAGTCAGTCAGTCTTCTTTGAAAGTGACTGCTAATTGAAGGGGCGTTGGATGGCTGGGTGGCTGGGTGGCTGGGTGGCTGGGTGGCTAGGTGCTGTCGCTCAATGCCTTCGCCGGGAGGTGGGTAGTCTAGTGGTTAATGTGTTCGTCACGCCGAAGTCGTGTTCGATCTCGCAATATGGCTACAATGTGTAAAGCCCTTTCTGGTGTCCCCTGTTGGAATATAGCTAAATGTCTCATTAATTTAAACGGACTTACTCACAATATCATGACCAATGACCCAATAATAGGTCTGTACATACCCCCAAACCTACCGCCTGATATTGCTGGAATATTGCTAAAAGCGGCGTAAAACCAAACTCACTCACTCAGTGCCTTCGCATGCACTTGACACATAAACACGCACCTGCACACACATTGCGCGCACGCACGCACGCACACATGCACACACCATACGCGCAGTAGATTATAACAAGCGCACGCGTGTGTGCATGCATACACACACTAGTGTGAATACGTATCTGGAATGTGTGAGAAATATGTGTTTTACCTACAGTCAGAATGGTCCAGCGGTGTTGGCTACGTGTAACTGATCGATTCTAGGCCTTGTAAACCAGTGGTTGATAGAATCAAGTCCACTATCGAGATATGATAACACAATCAACTGGCAGCCCACGTTTGTGCCCTGTTACGGGTAAGGCGTAGTGGAGGAGCCCTGCAAAATAGAAAGCTGCATAATTCAATCACGCCTAATATGATGGTAAATTGAGCAGGTCTGCCGTCATTCACTCAACGAATCTTGTACTGAAAGAAACAAGTCCCAAATGGTCAAGTCATGACGGGCGGTGGGTAGCCTAGTGGTTGAAGCGTTGGCTCGTCACACCGAAGACCTGGTCTTCGATTCCCACATGGGTACAATGTGAAGACCATTTCTTTTGCTGAAATATTGCTGAAAGCGGCGTAAAATTAAACTCACCTCACTCGCTCATGACCCATGTCCCAATAATCGGTCTGTACATGTTCCAAAACCTACCGTCTGAACAATTTTTGAAGGGGATATAGGCCATCTTATTAAACCATTTATTAGTTTCGGATGTTGCTACTTATTTTCATTGCCAAAAGGTAAAAAAAAAAAAGTTATTGCAGTATATTTATGTCTGTCCTAGACGGGTCTGTACGATATGCAGAGGTGTACTGTTTCCGCCCTGTTTCCACCCATGAATTGTACTCTTCACTGGACACATGTATAAACAAGCCAATCATGACCCATGGGCCCAATAATTATAATACTGGAATTCAGAGACCTCATTATAGGGCCTGTAGACAGGAGACAGTAATAATGGCCCATTCATACATCATGAGTGAGTGAGTTTAGTTTTACGCCCTTTTTAGCAATATTTCAGCAATATCACGGCGGGCGACACAGCAAATGGGCTTCACACATTGTACTCAGGTGGGGAATCGAACCCGATCCTCAGAGTAACGAGCGAACACTTTAACCACTAGGCTACCCCCAACGCACCAAAGAGCAAAGAAGTCATTATAGGCCTATATAAACAGAGGGTACCCAAAGTCTGTCGTCTGGACTGGTTGGTTCGTTGGTTTTAACGCTGCACTCAGTAATATTCAAGCTATATGGCGGGGTGGTGAAAATAATCGAGTCTTGACTCTACAGTCAGGACCTGACCTGGAGTCAGGCACCTAATCGCCAGCACACAAAATCTGCCGTCTTACCCACTCAGCCACCACGGCTTCCATAAACATGGACGTCGAACAACTTGTAGTCGAGACCAAAGACACATAAAAATAGGGTTAGAATTGGTCTTCAATAACCCATGCCTGTCGTAAGGCGACTAACGGAGTCGGATGGTCAGAATTGCTGACTTGGTTGACAAATGTCATCGTTTCCCAGTTGCGCAGATCGATGAGCATGCTGTTGATCACTGGATTGTCTGGTCCAAACTTGATTATTAAAGACCGCCGCCTTATGGCTAAGTCTGGTGATAGACAACAAACCAATTTAAATATTGCAGCGGAGTCGAGCGTCGCTCTGCTGTTTGCCTCTACTTGCCGGATCAGGTCACATTGAAATCTGAAAAGTGCGTCAGTGGTTATTGGCTGCTTGTACACAACCAGTTTAACATCCTAGTTGAAGAAGACCTTCCTGTTTACTCCACATTCGAGCAGATAGCGCAACTAGAAATCCTGCAGTGTCATATCCTGAGATGTTCCTTCCTCAACCCACTGACTGATCCCCTTGTGCAATGCCCCTATCCAATGAGCCCTGCTCTGTCGGTTGCACCAGTGTATAACCACAGTGGCTCATTGTCCTACTTTCTTTCACTTTCCTGTCAGGACTGTTCCCATTAGTGCTACATTTCTACTTGGGGAATCGTTACTTTGATTGTACCATTCCAGCTATATGGCGGTGGGTCTGTAACCGGACCAGACAATTCACGGGTTCCGAGATTCACGGGTTCGACTCTCAGACTCGATACAATAGCCCAAAGATCTTACAAACCATTGGTCAGATGGAGGGAGAGTGAACGTAGGGAATATTTATACGTACCTGCCCTGGTGAATAAATACAAGGGCCCACATGCTCCTGATCTGCATACCAATATTGGATTGAAGAACACCAAGCAGTCCAAACTACTTATTTCACAACACAGATCATCATCACTATTCTTTCACAATTTACAGATTTCTATAATGTTAGAGAAACAATTAAAGCCACACCCAGGACTCTATACCTTTGCAGGATATTTAAGATATTTATACTTAGTTTTGTCCCAATTTTCAATATCACAAATATATCTGCAACTATGCTGCAAACACATCGTACCATATAGGAAGCTGACATAAGAATATTAATTATAATTAGCTATTAATGCACAAAGACTTGTCGACTAATGTTCCATTAATATTTTATGGATTACAATAGAAGACAAGCCATATCTTTAAAGCTATACATTTTCATTGCATTAAGATGGCATAACATTTGTCCCACCTGCCCTTGTGCACATGGGTGATCTTATACTTTGTACTATTGACCACCAGATATAAATAGAGGATTCATGTGGCAAAGTTTGATTTTTAGCATTATAATAAGTCGTTTTAATGTTTATAAGAAATATTTACTAAAGCGAAGTCGATGGTACCATTCCTTCTGTACCGTCAGCAAGTGTTTATGTATTTTATCAAATAGTTTTGATTCTAGGAGTTCTTGAAAATGGTTCCAGTCACAAACAATAACGCAAGGGCATGTCAAATGTTAATCAGTTAAAAACACTAAACGATATGGTACAAGCCAAAGCAGGAAGAATGTGGTCTTTAATGTCACATGTGGAATTGTTGTCCACGCATCTACAACTAAACCATCTATTTTCTATAAAAATATATTTTGTGTTTGATGAAACAACTTCTGAGCAAGAGCTGTATGGTCTTCTTTGACATCTTGGTAAGAAAGGTGTGGCGGTTTGGTAGCCCAGTGGTTAAAGCCCTCGGTCGTCACGCCGAAGGCCAGAGTTCGATTCCCCACATGGGTACAATGTTTATAGCCCATTTCTGGTGTTCCCCGGCGTAATATTGCTGGAATATTGCTCAAGTCGGCGTAAAACCATACTCACTCACTCACCCGACCAAATCAGCGTGCCTAACTACTTGACCCTGGTCTTCAGATACCCATGCTAACGGGATCGTGTGGTCAGGCTCCAAGTGACCACCCTATTGACATCATATATACACTGGTATGAAGAGAGTTAGAGATAATGAGACGCGTGAAGATCCGGGTTAGAAGTGGTTTTCAGAAACCCATGCTTGTCGTAAGAAGCGACCAACAGGATCGGGGGCTCCCAATCGTATCCCAATTGCGTAGATCGATGCTCATGTTGTTCATCACTAGTTTGTCTGGTCCAGACTCGATTGTTTACAGACTGATTTATTTTGATATCAATAAGACTCTCCTTATGTGTATCACCCGAGAAGATCCGGGTTAGAATCGATCTTAAGTAACCCATGCTTGTCGTAAGAGGCGACTTAAGGGATCGGGTGGTTGGTTGACATGGGTTCCCAATTGCGCTGGAATATTGCTGAGTGCGGCGTAAAACTAAGCTCTATCACTTACATAGTCGACTGTAATATGATACTCTCCATGCAAAGATGTAGGACAATGGCAGACATTTGCAAAGGAAGAAAATTAATTTCTGTGACTCGATGTGACTCAATGATTGACAGCTAAACGCGGATGTATGAATCGAGTTTGCGGGCAGTGTCAGATTAATAAATCAGTCTGAGACTTGACATTTTATCAGTCGCGGGACCTTTTGTTGAGAGCAGACACGTAAGTTCTTAGAGTTTTCGATGTCTAATGTGTCACGTCACTGAATTACTCAAGTGTTACATGTCAAAATGTGCCCCCACTTAGTTTATATTTGACCTATTTGAGGGAAGTGCATTATTCGTGCCATAAGCGGGTCTCCTTTATTCGCTCATCTGAAAAACGGTTCTATGTTTGTTTGTTTGTTCTTGTTTTTGTCTGTTTGTTGTTTAACGCCACACACAGCACTAGAAGAGAGTCGTGACGTGGTCCTAGTCTAGACTGTATAGTGAGTATGGTTTTACGCGGCTTTCAGCAATATTTAGCTTTTAGCAGATGAAGAGAATACCTGTAAACATAATCATTATACATATGATCATCACAGTATAAATCATATCACATGGAATCACAGATTCATGAAAAGCGAAAAGAAAAGGAAAGGGAGACAACTGAAACACTGTCACATGCATCGATCGACGCAATTAGGATACTACGATTAACAGCATGTATTTAACGTGTAGTAAATAATTAAATATCACAATGCGTAAAATGGAAACAAGTATTTTTTTCAGGTGACAGGGTTTTGAATATGTAAAAGATGGTACGACAGTACAGTAGCATGTCAAATAGCACTGTAATGAAAAGTGACATGGGAAAACTGACCTTCAAATAAGAGCGACCAATGAAGGTCCGGGTTAGAACTGATCTTCAGTAGTGAGTGAGTATAGTTTTACGTCGCCTTTAGTAATATTACAGCAACATCACGGCGGGGGACACCCATGTGGGGAATCGAACCCGGGTCTTAAGCGTGACGGGCGGACGCTTTAACCACTAGGCCACCCCACCACCCCTGATCTTCAGTAACCCATGCTTGTCGTAAGACGCGACAAACTGGTTCGGGTGGCCAGGCTCGCTGCCTTGGTTGACACATGCCATCGTATATCAATTGCGTAGATCGATGCTCATGCTGTTGATCCCTGGATTGTCTTTCCCAGACTCGATTATTTACAGACCGGTGCCATATAGCTGGAATATTGCTGAGTGCTGCGCAAAACTCCCTCCCTCACTGGAAGGAGAGCCGCTCATTGACATGTAACGCTCTTCATAGGTTTTCATAGGTTTCCAGGAATTATCCAATCTCAACTTTTTAACGGCCCGAACATAATATGAGTGAGTGAGAGGTTTTAGTGAGTTTCAGTCGCTGGTTGGTTGAGTCAGTTTAACAAACTTTTCAATCGACCGTACTTTTGACCGCGATTTCTTACCAAAATTATTTCTATTTCGATGTTTCTATTTATTTGAACACTATTCTGAGGAAGAAGCCGGTGTAAGGCAGTTATCACTTTGGTGGTGAAACCCACGAGCACTGGAATGGCACTGTCAACATATAGAGATATACACATCTGGCAATGACGTCCTACTGGCAAACAAGGATAAGTTGGGCACTGACTGGACAATTGACCCGTATTAGCATGTATGAGAGCCGCCCACTGGTGCTTGCCATTGTGAACGAAGGGGCCCCAGGTTGTCCGTGATCAAGTATAATGCGATGGGTGAAGCGCGTGGCCTGTCTCAGCGAACTCCGAGTTCGACAGTGGCAGGTGCTATCTTTTAATAGTGCCTGTTTCGTGGGTGTGCGCAATGCCATGCACCGCCTACTTCTCTGCGCCGGTCCAACTTATCCTTGTTTGCCAGTAGACGTGTTTAAAGGGTGTCAAGGGAGTTCTGGCTATGACGAGGCGGTGGATAGCAAAGTAGTTAAAGCGTTCGTTCGTCACGTCGAAGACCCAGGTTCGATTCCCCACACGGGTACAACGTGTAAAGCCCATTAATGCCACCCCCACCCCCACCCCCACCCCGCTGTGATAGTGCTCGGAAATTGGTAAAAGCAGCTGAAAAGCTAACTCACTCACTCAGTCTGGCCATGACATGAATGTTTTGCCATTGGGTGAAACGGGTCAGAATCCTAGCAATATGAGCACGTCCATTATTATCTTGAAAAATAAAATGTTGCCGAAAACGTTGCTGGCATTACGAGTGTTGAATTGATGATATCTTGATTATTATGACTGTGATGTCATCGTATCCCATATGCGTATATTGATGCTCATGCTGTAGATCACTGGATTGTCTTGTCCGGATTCGATTATTTACAGACCGCCGCCATATATATCTGGAATATGGTTTTAAACAACAAAGAACGTTAAAGGTCACATGCAACGTAAAACACAACTTTGCAGATTCTGATACCTTTCGGTATGGACTTACCGAAAAAAAGCGTCAAAAATGCAAATTCAACTTATAAAGTTAAAAATAGCGCGATGAAAAAACGCGCGAAATCGGAGTTCAAACGTTTCAACTAATTTTCCCCAGACTTTTCTGAGGAATACGGGTTTCAACAGCTGGCTGCGCTCATAGCACGTGCGCAGTGAAATAGGTTCGCGCAACTTGGAAGCGGGCTGTCTGGTGAATACTCGGTGAAGGCTTTGGTGTGAGCTAGTTTCATAATGTTTTGTTGATATCTCACAGGCGCGAGCTTTTTGTATGTTATGACAGTAAATAAACTGTTTATATAATTTCATTTATCTATTTCACCACACGTTCTTCTTACCGAGTCACTTTCTCAGGTCGATAATTAAAAGCAATGTCATTATTTAGAGTCGACACGATTTCTAACTGTGATATAGATATGTTGCTGTCACAGACAAAACTCAATGTCTTGTTTTATTGACACCAGTGTGTCTGCCTGCCTGTCTGCTAATGACAATATTCAATACACAACTGCGATCACTGACCACATGCAATTTGAACTTAACACCAATCAGGCTATAAACCATAAACAAAACGCATTGATTTATGGCCCGAGTTTGGTCTCTGTCACATTATGTATTTACACAGACAGGCAGGTGTGATACTTGAACATATGACATGTTATGATGTCTGTTGATTGCAAAATGTTATACACAAAAAAATGAGCATGTATTTACAAAACCCAACTTTCTATATATACACACACACAATGACCCGTGTAGGCGGCATCTGCTAATGAACCAGCCGTTACACTTGAGTGCACACCCACCCGCTCTGACTGGGTTCGGTATCCCGGCTGCTTCGTTTCGAGGGAGGTAAACCCAAGTACAAAATATTGCACTTTTGATTTGCGATTATACGCATATAATTTGGTTTATTTGTTTTTTCATAATCAGCAATGCATATTATATGTCATGAAGTAGTGATAATTGTGTTTTAATTATGTTTGATTTTTTTGGTTGCATGTGACCTTTAAGAGTCGGCAGGAAGTCTAGCCGTTTAGACGTTTCCCCTGTGAGGGGAATTCCCAGCTTCGAATATGTGAAACACCCTCCCTGGTGTCTACTCAGAGGAAGTTGCTCGAGTATTGCTACAAGCGGTCTTAAACATATTCACCCAATCACATTTAAATGGAATGTATTTATTACCCATTTGATCATCAGTAACCCATGCTTGTCGGAAGAGGCGATTAACGGAATCGGGTGGTCAGACTCGCTGACTTTGTTGACACACGTCACGATAACAATGACTGTGATGTCATCATATCGCAGTTGTGTAGATCGATGTTCATGATGTTGATCACTTGATTGTCTGGTCCAGACTCAATTATTTACAGACAGCCATATAGCTGGAATATTGCCGAGTGCGACTTAAAACGTAACTCACTCACTCACCCATTCAATGTTCTCTTGTTTTTTTCAGACAAGCAACAACAAACATGAGCGTATGGACAGAATGGCTGGACATCTTCCCAGTCGTGGGTACTCTCCAGAACACGGTTGAAGCTATATCAGCCGTCTGCCATGGCGCCTATGACCTTGCAAAGGAAAATGGAGCCGATGCAGCTCTGAGTCTTGTGCTGGATGTCCTCACATATGGGACAGCAGGTGCCCCGGATTCTGCACACCTTAAAGTTGCTGAAAAGGTCGTAATGAAGGGCATTGGTCCCAAAGAAGTCATGAATGCCATGAAAGGTAAAGGTGGAAAATCCGGGAAAGGAGGAGCTGCACAATCCATGAAAGGAGCTGGTAAAAAAACCTGCTGCTACTCAGATTAACATCAAAGAATTGACCAACAAATCCAAAAAGCCATCAGACCCAAAGACCAGTAAAGGGGAACAGAAGAAGCCATCGCATCGTGGCGAACATGTCATCAACAACAACGTGCTGAAGGTGTTTCGGACAATCATTGACCGATTTGCTGCTAGGATTGGAAGCACTGCAGCTCAACTGCTTGAAAATAAAGAACACACAGCAGCTTATAAAGCATCACACACCTCTTCCTGCAGCCACCACCCAGTCAATCGGCCACCAGATGGTTGCTCATATTCGAGAAGAAGACCAATACATTGATGCCAACGCAACTGCCTATGGAGCAGCCATCAAAGAGATTTCTGACATGGTGGTCACTTATATGTACGACTATTACACCAACAACTTCTACTCCGGTCCTGCCGTTGATAGGAGCATCATCGATCTGATTCGTTTACTGAACAACGGTCAGTTGTATGTGGACGAGTACGCCAAACAGTACTGGCTTCAACAGGGCGGGGACGTGAACAAGTTTGAAGAGTGCAGGCAAGAAGTCGTGCAGATGTTTAGATGTCTGTGTGCACCGACAAGCGGGGAAAACGAGGCGAAGCAGTGGGTACGTGATCTTACTGGTCACATTTAACTGATACATTGATGTTATCAGCAGCTAATCAGGTTTCTTCTAACCAAAGATTCCACGTCAGATACTGATACTGGAGAAAGCTCAACTCAACAGACTTTCGTTGTCATGTCGTGGGGAGAGCACACTTAACTCTGTACTGAACTTTGAGGGATATCTCAACTATGCTGACCTCTGATGCCATCTGACTTATACTAATTTCTTTAAATCTACCCAGATCTGCTCAGTCTAAAGGACATTTTAAGATTCTTAGTGTACCGACTTTGATGCCAAGTCAAGTTACTATGAAACACCTGTCTATGCAGACATTTCACACCATGATACCATACTATTCAACTCTTGACTGTACTCACATTGGATGCCGTTATACTTTACCACGAAGCAAATATTTTTGCAGACATTTCACACCAACACACCACACTATACGACACTTGACTGTACTGACACTGGATGCCAAGGCATGGCGTTGTAACATCATTAATTATGCAGACATTTCACACCAACACATCACACTATACGACACTTGACTGTACTGACACTGGATGCCAAGGCATGGCGTTGTAACATCATTAATTATGCAGACATTTCACACCAACACACCACACTATACGACACTTGACTGTACTGACACTGGATGCCAAGGCATGGCGTTGTAACATCATTAATTATGCAGACATTTCACACCAACACACCACACTATACGACACTTGACTGTACTGACGTTGGATGCCAAGGCATGGCGTTGTAACATCATTAATTATGCAGACATTTCACACCAACACACCACACTATACGACACTTGACTGTACTGACGTTGGATGCCAAGGCATGGCGTTGTAACATCATTAATTATGCAGACATTTCACACCAACACACCACACTATACGACACTTGACTGTACTGACACTGGATGCCAAGGCATGGCGTTGTTACATCATTAATTATGCAGACATTGGGTGTAAATAACGGACTCCGTTACATCCAGACTAGACCCTTTGATGCGTGCTCAACCGACACAATCGAGCAATATGCAATGGCTCGAAAACTTGAAAATAAAACGTGGCCTGAATATGATCCTATGTACTGACGGCTGAACGCCTTGTGGGCAGAAATTCTGAGACCATAACACTTGTGCCATAACATAAAACAACGGGTTTGGGGATTAGTCAAATGTTGAAACATGCTGTCGATGACAACCTTTAATGGACACTACTTGCTTAGATAGAGGTTTTCTTATTCAACGCCCACGTCAATTTTGAAACTTGAAGGTTTAAGCTGGTTTTAGAATGCTAGTCCACTGAGATACCATGCCACAGTGAAGCATGAATACCCCACTCAGACACATTATACTGACTCCAACCGACCTGTCCTTGTTGTACCCATTATTGCCGAGCGCCAGACAGGACCAACAAGTACCATATTTTAACTTTTTTTGGTATGACGCGGTCGGGGATCGAACCCGCGACCTTCCGCTCACCCGGCGGACGCTCTAACTACTACACCACGGAGGCGGTCAAATAGTATAAGAATATTGTAGGTATGTGCGGTGTTGCTTTTACAGGACGGCCTGTTTCCACCTGACTGAGTAGGTTTGAAAATACCCTCTCATGGAACATTGGACTTTTGCCCTCATCACTGCTGTATGATATAATAACATGCAGTGGCATTTGTATGTGCTAATGTGATAAAAATAAATCGTGAATTATGAGAGTTTGTTGTATCTCATCAGTAGATGTGAGTAGTATGTGGTGGTATTAGCCTTGGTGCTGTTCAGTTTGACACTTCTGAAGCCAGGAGCATGACCCGGGACGATCCGGGGTAGAACTGATCTTCAGTAATCCATGCTTGTCGTAAGAGAAATAATTGTTCTCAGTTATACCTTTCCAAATACCTGTCTTGGTCAGGCAAAAACTGGCTTAATAGTGACAAGACCGACATTATCATAGTGGTAGCGAACCAATACTAAACCCCGTTCCACAAAACGATGTTGGTTCAAACATATATTCATGGAACCAAATAAGGGAACACATGAAAGTACAAGTGTTCCTTTATTTTCCAGATTTTCAGGCACAGTGCAATACATACCTTGTGAAGAAACCTGGAAAAAATAAAGGAACACTTGTACTTTCATGTGTTCCCCTATTTGTTTCCATGAGTATATTTGTTCACAAAGAGAAAAGGAATGGGGCCATGTTCTTACAACTCAGAAAAACCCTCTTTAAGAATATTTACTACAACAAATTACATCACAAGCCACTATCAGACATAGACCCAAAGGAAGATTGACAGTTAAGGGAAATAATAAGATACCAAAGGAACAGAGAAGGAAAACTGCTGGAATCTTAGCTCTACGATGATAACAGTAAGTCAATCCTAAAGCATTTGAGTAACGATCACCTTAGCGCTAAGATCGTTTTGAGGGTGGGTCCCAATACAGCATATGCGTAATATATACTACCCATCAAAAGTTTAGACTCACTAGTGTAAATGAAGCCACTTACTTCAGTCAACTGTTCTAAACTAGATTTTGCAAAATATTCCTTACTATTTAAAGGTACTGTTTACACATGAACTGATGTCTTGTAAAACAAATTTGTAACGTTGAAAAGATTATTGTCATGAGTTCAATAAATGGTGAAACGCAGTGAAAATTGGCGAATTCTTAACAAACTCAACACCAAAACGCAGCTGTTCACATGCACGATATTTGCACATGCTTTTCAGCAAGTTGATGTATTGATCCTCGTGCAACCCATATGCATAAGGTTTGCAGTTGGTTCCCCAACGTTGTAGAGAAACCACATATATATATATACATAACATATAGTGAGTTCTTTAAGTGAGTCTAAACTTTTGATGGGTAATATACCATTACTGACACTGTGTACCAGTCCAGCACTGATGGCATGGTAGAACTGAGTACTGCTTGCTTGTTGGTAGTTTATCACCACATTCGGCAATACATCAGTAGTATATACAATGGGGGTGCGAAACCACTTTCAACAAAAGCCTCTGCAAAGCCTTATTTATGAAATAAGGCTTTTGTCAGGCCCTTAGATCTCGCCCCATTACCCCTACTCCTTTCTCGACCTATAAAAAAAGTTGAGACACCAGCGGGATACGAACGCCTAATGTTATACCTCACAGTCGCACCACTTAACCAACTGAGCTACCGGGTACTTGGCAGAATGATCTCGGTTTAACGGGTCTATTCTGGGATTGCTCCATGTGGCACTATGTCACGTTGGCAGGAGGTAGCATTGTGCCGTACGGTACGATCAATAATTCCGCTCTAACAAGCCCTCTCCCTGGCCCGTCCCTCAAGTAGTACAAGTTCGGCTCGTCTGCTTTGATGTCCACTTTATCTATGTTGTAAGTTTTGACTGACCATATTGGGTCAGTGGCTTGCTTACGGCTATCACCCTCGTGTTCCCCCGGCTGGTATAGATACCTCACTAGGGCCCTATCTGGTATCTGTTTCTCCTTCCCACACAATGGAGCAGCCGACTCTGCCACTATTGATTTTAGTTTGATAGCGTCTGCCGGCTTCTTACCAGTGAGCCGGGTGGCTTCATTGTTGATTGCCGACACCACCTTGGGTAACCTCGCTACCCATTCAGTCGATCGCTTTCCCGGGGTGGCCATCTCCCTTCATACTGATGACCGAATAAGTCCTATTGAATCTCTCAACTATGGCTTGGCTGCGATGGGCTCCAGCCGTGCCACGCCTGACCTTTGTATCGTGTTTATCCAGCAGGTGTGACACGGCGCCCATGAACTCCCACCTGGGGTCAACTTGCAGCTCTGTTGGCCACGTCAGCGGACTGCGCTTGTATATGCGTTCGAATCCTCGGGCTACTTGGGCCGAGTCTTTCGCGGTCAAGGGTTCGGCTTCCTTGTAGCGACTGGCCACGTCCACGACGGTTAAGGCATACTTGTACCTCTTGTTGTGGGGTAGGAATAGGAGGTTGGCCTGGTGGACGCTATTGGGTATGTTAATACCGAACCTCCTTCTAGGATCGTAGCATGGTGCCGGTAAATAGATTTGCCAAAGTGCTTGTTTTTCAAGCCACGCTTTGGCCTCCTTCGGGGGGTACTCGCGCCATTTTAACCAGCTTATGTACAGCACTAGCTCCTTTCCAGTACCCACGTGGGCTGTAGTAAATAGCCTCAAACTTTCTCTGGTTCCGTGACATGTCACCCCGATATATATACATCTATGTCCTTGGTTCAATTTTCTCATGCCCGTACGCATACGTGTTTATCCCATCAATAGCTATCGAACGTTTAGTGTCCATTGGCGACAGGGACGTCTTGTTTATAGTCAGTCCGTATATCCTATGCCCATCACTTCTAAGTGTGTTCATTTTATGTCTAAAGGTACGGGTCTTGAACAGGGCTTCCTTGAATCTGGCGTGTTTGATGTGTTGTTTCACCACGTACTTCTTAACACCCTTCGCCTTCCGGATCTCACCATTGTCAGCCTTCAGGATGGAGTACATCTTAGGCCTCAAACCTATGTACTCGGCTATGGGCGTGCCAGCACACTCGTCCTTCATCTTACCTAGGACCTTTTTATTTACCGTGCTGTGTATGGCATGGTCTT